GGTGAAAAGTCATATTACTGTTATTAAAGGGTAAAAAACATACCCTGTCTCATTATTTAGAACCCCGCATTCTGACTGAGAGACACCACACAATTGTCTTCAAGCATGTTGCACTGAGATCGGTGCACACATACTGTATGTCTCAGTTAGTTTTTGTCTGTTTTGCACTTTATTTTTAAATAACTGCATTCATTTGAATTGTTTTGATAAATAACTGTTGTATATGCAATTACTTTACTTGGATTGCTTGGTAAATTTGAATGTTTTCATATTGTCTTTGGAAAAGTGTTTATTATGCAATTTTCTTGTCTGTTTGACATAAAGCACCAAATCCTTACCTTGTAGCAGCTAAAAAAAACAGCTAAACAAAAGCAGGCTGCTTGGGAAGCCTCTAATGCTTCCTCTCATTAACTACCATCATATATTTGTGTGAATTTGCTTGTTTATATGTATAAAATAAATGTACCTCCTGTGCAACTTTCTTCATCTCGTCCACATAGGCAGCCATGGCGCTCTCACTACTCATTTTTCCCAGTTGGCTCCATGCGTCCCTAACACAGATAAACAAATTTTGAGTCACTGGAAGAAATACACTTGACGACAGCCTATCAGATGACAATGTGGTTTAAAAAACACCTATCAAAATGTTTTCTAACTTTGGAATTACAATTATTAGTAACTTTGTAATTAGTAGACAATATTAGCAATTTTAATATCGACAATGCACTTAACGACATAAAACAAAGAAAGACGTTATTAATCAGTCGGACAAAAAAACTTCTAAAATTCAAATTTTATCAAGATTTTTAATGCGAGACTATTTCCTTTGTTATTTTTAACTGATCAGATTTGGCTTGTTTTTTTGTTTTTTGTTTTTTTCAAAGTGTGTGTCTGCCACCAAAAACTAACCTGACTACAGCGACTTCCAAGTGCATAAAAAACATATCAGAAAAATTGAATTTCTTTTATTATTCCATTTAAAATTGTAAAATTTCATATACTCCATTTTTATTACATGCAAAATGAACTATTTTAAAGCCACAGCAAGAAGGTCCACAGTTCAACTCCACCACCTGCCCGGGGCCTTTCTGTGTGGAGTTTGCATGTTTTCCCCGTGTTAGTGTGGGTTCTCTTTGGGGACTCTGGCTTCCAATCCAAAGACTGGGAAGAAAGCCTTTCTTCCATTAGTGGATACTTGGATCGGATTGGCTCGGCTCGACTTCCATTACAATCGAGTACAACCTTGTGCGTGGGGTTGTCATGGCAACATCCTTAATTTAACATAAAACTCATTGTTGCAGCCGAGGGCAGCACAAAAGTGATCCCCTTAAACTGATTTTTAGTTTTAATCTCCTTATGTTCCCCTGAGTTATTGGTTCTGTTACTAGTTAGCTAACATAAACTAACGTAAGTCTACTGACGGCAACCAATCAATTCGGTGATGTAATACTCCATACTGACAGAAGATGCTGCTAAAGGTGTTTTAAAAACTTTAAGCACTTATTTCTTTAATCCAGCTACAGACTAGAGATGGCACGATACCACTTTTTTATGTCCGATACCGATATCATAAATTT